TGGTATATTGCTTGGTGAATTCCACTAATGTTTTTTTAGTGAGAGTGGCCAATCTAACAACAAACCGTGTGACATTGAAGAAAGGAGACGTCATTGGCAGATGTACACCAGCTATACGAGTAGTCAGATGCGCAAAGAAGGAGCCTTTGTCAAATGCAGCACATTTATCAATAGAGCTTCTGGAGAAGTTTGAAAAGAGCTGAAATCACTTAGGCCAGCAAGAAAAGAAGAAAGCTATTGAATTTGTGGAGAAAGAGGCTGGTGTTTTTGTGCAAGATAAAATTACTGGACGAACTAATTTGGAAGATCATCGCATCAACACAGGAAGTGCTACACCCATTCGCCAACCACCACGAAGACTCCCTTTCGCAAAACAACAGCAAGTTAACACCATGCTTAAGGAAATGCTGAAGGACAACATCATACAAGAATCTAATAGTCCATGGTCATCGCCGGTCGTACTAGTTACGAAAAAGGATGGTTCTACCAGGTTTTGTGTGGCTTATAGAAGGTTGAATGACGTTACGAAGATTGACAGCTATCCATTACCCCGGATTGACGATACCCTTAACACCCTATTAGGATCCAAGGGGTTTTCAACCCTGGACTTGAAAAGTGGATATTGGCAGGTGGAACTCAATAAAGAGGATAAAGAGAAGACCCCATTTACTGCAGGAAACGGCCTATATCAATTTAACGTCATGCCGTTTGGATTATGCAACGCACCTGCCACTTTTCAAAAACTGACAGAGTTAGTTTTGCGAGGATTGACTCGGGAAACGTGCATGGTATATCTGGATGATATCATGGTGATTGGCAAAGATTTCGACGAACACCTGTCGAATTTGAAGGAAGTTTTTGCCAGGATTCGAAGTGCCAATCTGCGACTAAATCCCAAGAAGTGTGTCCTATTCCAGGAAAAAGTAAACTTCCTCGGCCATGTCGTCTCATCAAAAGGAATAGACACAGATCCAGATAAAGTCCAAGCTGTGCGAGATTGGCCCAGACCAAAGAATAAACATGAAGTTAGAATCTTCCTGGGACTCTGCAGTTACTACCGCCGGTTTGTCAAGGATTTTGGGAAGATTGCGAAGCTTTTACATGAACTAACTGAAAAGAATGCTCGTTTTGATTGGATACCTGAATGTCAACGGTCTTTCGTGGAGCTGAAAAATAAATTGACTAGTGCTCCAGTTCTGGCGTATCCCAGGGATGAAGGTCTATTTATGTTAAACACCGACGCTTCGCAGTGGAATAGGGGCTGTTCTTTCCCAAATTCAAAACGGCGAAGAAGTAGTAATTGGATACTTCAGTAAGTCCATTGGAAAGGCAGAGAAGAATTATTGTGTCACCCGTAAGGAGCTACTGGCAGTAGTAAGATCTATTGAACATTACCACAGCTTTCTCTATGGCCGGAAGTTCCTAGTTAGAACTGACCATTCTGCATTGCAATGGCTGCTCTTTTTAAAAAATCTGGATGGTCAAATAGCGCGTTGCTTAGAGAAATTACAAAGTTATGACTTCCAAATCAAACATCGCACAGGAAGAAGTCATGCCAACGCCGACAGCCTATCACGAAGACCACGTATTGACAGCTCATGCAAATTCTGCCAACGGCAAGAGGAAAAGGAGGCAACCAAAAATTCTGGAGTCGTTCAACATATAAGGCTTAAGAATTTCGACAACGACGCTAATACTGATGACGACATTACGAGAGAAGACTTCGAAAAACAACAAAATATGGATAAGGAATTGAACATGGTGCGTGGCTGGCTACAAGACGGACAACGACTTGGCAAGAAATTTCCAGTTTGAGTTAAACGGTGAAGGGATACTGGCTGCAATGGGACTCGTTGTGCCTGCGAAATGACTTGATCACTCGTAAATGGGAGAGTCCAGATGGAAAAAACCTAGTATATCAGACCGTTGTGACATGGACCATGGGGGACAGAGTGCTTCAAGAACTGCACAGTAGTAGGAGTGGCGGACACTTTGGAGTCAGAAGGACCTTGGCTCGAGTAAGAGATAGGTACTATTGGATCAACTGTCGTAGGGATGTTGAAGAGTGGTGCAAGAGATGCGATCTCTGTGCTTCTAAGAAAGGACCCAAGACGCGATCCCGTGGAGAAATGAAGCAGTACTTGTCCGGTTCCCCTTGGGAAAGAATTGCCGTGGATATTGCAGGTCCTTTTCCTACGACGGAGTCAGGAAATAAGTACCTCATGGTTGCTATGGACTATTTTTCAAAGTGGCCAGAAGTAGTTCCCATACCCAATCAGGAAGCAGTTACTGTTGCGGAATCATTGCTGGAAAACGTCATATCCAAACATGGGGTAAAGATGGAACTTCATACCGATCAGGGATGGAATTTTGAGTCCAAGGTATGGAAACAACTGATGAGGTTACTGGGAGTAAGAAAAACAAGGACGACTGAATGGTCGAGAGGCACTATCGGACCATCAATCAATACCTCTCGATATTTGTAGATGATCACCAGCGAGACTGGGATAAACTAGTGCCTCTTCTCCTTCTGGCTTATAGAAGCTGACAGCATGAGTCCACCGGCTATATATCATCTATGCTGTTGACTGGAAGAGAAATGAAGCTTCCAGTAGGTTTAATGTTTGGCAGGCCTCCAGTCGATGAAGACGAGGCTGTACTTCCAGTTTACGTGGCTGATCTCTAGGACAGACTTAGAGTGGTACACGATTCCGCCAGAAATAAGCTACGTCTGACCAGTGACAATGAAGATGAGACTCGACCAACGGCAGTCACTGAACACCTTTAATGAAGGCGATGCTGCCTGGTTGTATCAGCCACAGCGAAGAAAGGAACTTAGTCCGAAACTGCAACGACCATTGGAAGGACCACACAAGGTCATTAAGAAAATCAACGACTGTACGTCATACCTATGGTCATACCCAACGGGTGTACGTCATACCTATGGTCATACCTGAACCAATGACGACGTTTACGTTGCCAGTTATGCGTCGCGACCGTGGCGTACTATCCTAACAAACCGTACCTTAAAAGCTCCGGTGCGCACCGCGTAAGGATCAGTTCTGATTGACGTACGACAAGTGCAGTAAACTGTAAAGTCAGGAACTGAATAACCACGTTCAAAAATAATCGTGCCGTATAAGCTTTATTTGGAGTAGTTCGGAGTCTAAAGTAGTGTTAAATTTCGTGTGATTTTTATGTTATTGTGTTTAATAAAATTCGTTAAAGTGGGTATTGGTGTCATGATCAGATCACTGTTGATTGAGTGAATCTGTTCTCGAATGCGCCGTGTAAAAGTGGCTGAAGTAAGCTGTTTGTCAAAAGAGAAAGATGCCATCAAGTTGCTATCGTCCGCAAAGCTGTACATGGCGTTTATTTTCAAATTTAACAAATCAATTATAAAAATGAGAAACAGTGTCGGGGACAGAATTGAGCCATAGGGAACGCCGGCAACTACAAACCACAACAATGATGACTTCAATGGAACAGCTAAAATGTAAACATGAGATATTATACAAAATAATTTGTTTTTTATAACAAAGATTAAAAATAAATTAAATACTCGCTTGAATATCTAGCGATTCATTAAAACAGAAACATTTCTAGCGTTATTAAAAAAGTTGAAAATGCTCTTTTTTTGTAAGCTATGCCGTATTTTAGACTGACATTTTAATTTCCCGGGTACGTTTCCAAAGTTCCGCATAATTCTCCTTAAAATATGGATTTTAGTTGAAAAACTGAAATTATAATTGCCGACCAATCTAAGACCAAAAAAATTGTGAAAGTTTCACAAATTTAGTCTGCTTTATTTCCAATTTGCACAATTTGTTTCATTTTTAAAATCTAATTTTTTTATTTTAATTTTGTTATAGGTGCAATATTCAGTAATCACCCAGTACCACGTTTCGTTTCAAGAGGCAATACCTTCAAAGTTATAACAGGCGACACTGTGGTTTTACCTTGCGAAATTCACAACCTCGGTAAGTATGGCGCCTCGACCTTTGTTTTTCTACTGTATATGCTCATAATGTTTTGTAATTGACAAGCCTTTATACATGCTAATACAGATTAGGGCTTATAATGGGCCGCATCAACAAAGGCTTTGACGCAGCATGAAGCATCCTCCATTATTACGTTACAGGATGGATTATAATACATCTTTTAACTTGAATTTTACCCGGAACGTTGGGTCGTCGCCGTTGCTTTCATTTGTTTCACCTTGATCAGTGAAATTGTGATTAATGTATTTTACCAAAGCGCCTAAGATAATGTTGTATAGGGTTTTATTAAGACATTGACTAAGACATTTTATCACTTGGATCAAAGTCTCTTGGATCCGGGAAAATAAATTAGCAGAATAGTTTGATAACAATGTTTCAGATTTTATTTTCGGATATCGACTGACACTCATCTAATTGAAAATTCTGAATTATTCGAAATACAACACCGAGAAATAAACATCTCATCTTTCTTCTTATATGACATATATTCTTATATCAAAATTTCTTGAACGTTCTCATTAAATGCTTCCACTGATTTATTGTGGTAATAGAAATCCATTTGTTAGTGACATTGTGAAATGCACTTACTTTGGCTGGAGCAATTCAAAATTTCAAGGTTTTAAAGCTGCTATCATTAGTAATGTGTCAGTTTGTTTGTTTTTTTGCAAAATAGTCTAACTCCCTATGGAAAAATTCTAAGCCAAAGCCTGTATACAGCTACTTTATTACCTTATTTTTCAAAAATGGAACATTCACACGAAAATTTCAACTCGCTGATAGTTTATACTGTTAACTGTACAATGGAGCATGCCTTTACTTGTTTGATTTTAATCTGGAAAATAAGTTTTTACGGTATTCAGTCCAGTACAGTATATTTAACAAATCTTGGGAAAAATCTATACCCCTAGGTATGGATAGGAAAAGGTCTCTCAGATATAATATGAAGCAAAAAAGAGAAATCAAACTCAAATACTTATCTACCTTCCGTGGAACAACAAAATGTTATTCGATCAGAAAAGATTCAGAACAGCGTCTTATCCAGAGCGGCTAAATTTAGAACTGCCCAACCTGTGCTACAATTACAATCATCAATCTTCAAATGCCAGAACCTTCCAAACCAATATGTTGGAATTTGAAGGAAGGTACTACCCCAGACGAGTCGGGGGCAAATCTCATAATCTCGTACTGATAAGATTGTCAAGGTCATGATTTCTGCGGAAGGCTATTCGTAGCTGCTTTTATAGGTTACTATCAATTAATAAAAGGCCAAGTTAATAAAGGTTTTTTATTGATAAAAAATAAGCCTATTCAACTCACCACACACCGGATACAAATTTTCCAAATTCAAAAACGACTTTTAAAACAAAAATAGCCAATCGAGAAATCTGTAGAATTGCCCAGAATTCCTGAATACTCGCGCTTTGTTTGTCAACAGTCGTGGCAGCTTCTCCGCACCATTGTAGTGTTGTAACATATCTTAAAAAAGATCGTCCCGATCTGGCCATTTATTCTCGTGACAACACTTAGCCCTATCGAGATGCATCTCCTTCTCTTCTACGTCTATACCTTCACTCAGCTTCATTCCATCTGAATTATTCTCCATGTTCCCACCACCAGCAGTACTGTTCCTCTCAGAGTCCTCAAACCTTGTCTTCTAGATCTTCATCAGCCCAACTATCCACATGCCTATTTCAATCATTCAGACCATTAAGTCTGATATCCTTCCTCCTGAATATCTCTTCTTCTTCTTCCATTGTGTTTAATATTGCGTTAGTGAGAAAGCACTCTTACGTTAATTTTTGTTCAGAGAAAGGCGGGAGAATGGAGAAAGGAGGAAAGGGAGATTTCATTCACTAGAAGAGAAGTGGAGCTTTTGAATTTCTGAAAATAGTCCTGTCAGGCTTAATGATATAGTTTAGTTATCGTCGAATAAAGATTCAGTTATGCCATTTGTATGGTTAGTTACTTTGTCAAGAAACCGCGTATGTTTGTTAACAAGGTACTCCTGGATTGCATCGACGCTCAGGTCCGTATGTTGGTTCGCATTGCAGACATACCACGGAGCGCCGACCATCCTATGGATTACCTGCAGTTTCTTTCAATTTTGACGTATTGTATGTGAAGAAACTGTTGTACCGTAAAGTAGGTCTAATAACTTGTTTCTACAGTAATAGTTTGTTTTTTGAAGTTGTTAAGTAATGGATAAAGCAATCCCACTAATCTGTTGCATTTATTCAGTCTATGATAAATGTAGGTGGTCCAAGAAAGTTTACAGTAATATTCCTAAATATTAAATTTGATTTGTCCATGTAATTTTGGAATCGTCAGTATGAGGTTATCAATATGTTTGTCACATTTTTTTGGAGATCAGAACGGCTTGGGTCCTGTCGATGTTAATTTTGATTTTCCATAGTTTTGCCCATTCAATTTTGGAGTCAAGATAATTTTGTAGTCGTCTGTGTATGTAATCTGAGTATTTTTGTAAAATGTGAATACAAGTGTCATCTGCGTAGATGGACATTTAAGTATGGAGATTAATTGGGATATCAGCCGTGTAGAGATTATAGAGCAGTGGTACCAGGACAGAAACTTGCGGCGCTCCCGCTTCTATAGGTCTGACATTTGGGAAGGTATCTTTGTTGAGTTTTGAGTTTGACATCGAACCTTCTAGCTTCGAGGAAATTAATGATAATTTTGACAAGAGATAATGGCAGAAAGTATTTGTCGTGAATCCGTCAGGGAGAATGCTGTGAAGATAATGCAAGGATTTTAAGTTTTTTGTTATTTTCTCAAGAATTTTAGAAAGTGAAGACAGAAGACTGATTGGATGGTAATTTTGTGGAAATTGATAATCTTCCTCTGCTTTTGGGATTAGTATCACGGTTGCCAGTTTCTATGCTTTAGGAAAGTAATTGAGATTGACGCGTTCATTTAGAATGCGAGTAAATGTCGCGACGACGTTGTTCGGAAGGTTTTCGAGGACGTCTCTGTGCCTATCCAATAAATGTTCTCCATGATGCGTTCCTATCTATCCATATCTACCTTCACGACTGCGTGGTTCTTCTTTAATGGACTGACGTCACCGAAACTAGAAGAATGGCCACCTGTTCCTTGTTGACTGCCATGAAGCCAGCGGCCTTATCTGCGTCTGCATAGCACTCGTAGGATTCCTCATCAAAAATCAGTAGAGCGTCTTTTTGGAGGATAGAATTTACCTACCAATCTTCTTGTTTCTGGTATTTCTCTCTAAGCACGCCTGATTTTTCTTTTCTCTAATAGTTGTGACATTCGGTCTTCAAAGACTGAAAGTCTCCAGAAGGGTAGTTATATTCCTAAATATTAAATTTGATTTGTCCATGTAATTTTGGAATCGTCAGTATGAGGTTATCAATATGTTTGTCACATTTTTTTGGAGATCAGAACGGCTTGGGTCCTGTCGATGTTAATTTTGATTTTCCATAGTTTTGCCCATTCAATTTTGGAGTCAAGATAATTTTGTAGTCGTCTGTGTATGTAATCTGAGTATTTTTGTAAAATGTGAATACAAGTGTCATCTGCGTAGATGGACATTTAAGTATGGAGATTAATTGGGATATCAGCCGTGTAGAGATTATAGAGCAGTGGTACCAGGACAGAAACTTGCGGCGCTCCCGCTTCTATAGGTCTGACATTTGGGAAGGTATCTTTGTTGAGTTTTGAGTTTGACATCGAACCTTCTAGCTTCGAGGAAATTAATGATAATTTTGACAAGAGATAATGGCAGAAAGTATTTGTCGTGAATCCGTCAGGGAGAATGCTGTGAAGATAATGCAAGGATTTTAAGTTTTTTGTTATTTTCTCAAGAATTTTAGAAAGTGAAGACAGAAGACTGATTGGATGGTAATTTTGTGGAAATTGATAATCTTCCTCTGCTTTTGGGATTAGTATCACGGTTGCCAGTTTCTATGCTTTAGGAAAGTAATTGAGATTGACGCGTTCATTTAGAATGCGAGTAAATGTCGCGACGACGTTGTTCGGAAGGTTTTCGAGGACGTCTCTGTGCCTATCCAATAAATGTTCTCCAGGATGCGTTCCTATCTATCCATATCTACCTTCACGACTGCGTGGTTCTTCTTTAATGGACTGACGTCACCGAAACTAGAAGAATGGCCACCTGTTCCTTGTTGACTGCCATGAAGCCAGCGGCCTTATCTGCGTCTGCATAGCACTCGTAGGATTCCTCATCAAAAATCAGTAGAGCGTCTTTTTGGAGGATAGAATTTACCTACCAATCTTCTTGTTTCTGGTATTTCTCTCTAAGCACGCCTGATTTTTCTTTTCTCTAATAGTTGTGACATTCGGTCTTCAAAGACTGAAAGTCTCCAGAAGGGTAGTTATTCTTACATTGACGCTAAAAATATCCTGTTCTTCCGCGATTACATTCGCCTCCCAAGCGTCCTGATTTGAATATATATATATATATATATATATATATATATATATATATATATATATATATATATATATAAGAAGAATGGACGTTGTTGCTGACCAGTACGAAGACAATTTTGGGAATCGATTTGGGGAATGCAGCAAAAATAAAGTGTACTCTTTAAAGTTTATCCGAGCTTTCGATAATGTTTATTATCATCTTCAGGGAACTATGGATCAATATACATGTTAAAGACAATAAGACAATAATATAATGTAACTTACATCTTTGGTGAGATTATTAAAGATAAATGTTGTGTAATTGATCTGTTCCATTAGCATCGAGGACAGTGAGAACTTAATTATTAGTCATTAATACATAATAAGCTTGTTAAAAATTATTGAGAAAGGATGAAAGATTGTGTAAATGGGACAATACAACATATTAAAATATTAAATAGTTACAGAGAGAGACTTTTACAATATATCACCCTGGGTTTGAGGATCATCCATCAAATGTGTAATTTGGAATTATTATATTAAAATATAATATATATATATATATATATATATATATATATATATATATATATATATATATATATATATATATATATATATATATATATAATTTCTCTTATTGGTTCTTCTTCTGGGGCTTTGATAAGAAATCTGCTGCAACTTGATGGTTTAGTGATGAGCAACATCTCTAGTACATTCATAATATCTAATTTCATTATCGAAATTTCCGACCTCTAGTTGTTCTCACATTTCTGCTGTTGCTTCCGGGGAGATCCAATTAACCAGATGGCGCGGATATCAGTTTCAAATACTTATAAACTTTCGACAACTTGTCTTTTTCTAAGATGCACTTGGTATACCTGCCACTAGTTTTGATAACCATATCGACGATTTAACGCATCAGCAAGCGTTGCTGAGTTTTGTTGGAAAGCTGACGGAAGTTTTCCTAATAGGTCTAGGAGATAGGACAACGAAATGCTACAATCAAGCCTGTAGCTATCCAAGCTGCAACCATTATCCATTGTAAGAGTCTGGAGTCTCGAACTATACCAACTTCCTGACGAACACTTCCAACTTCTTCACGTACTTTTTCCATTACATTCTTGAATTTATTATTTTGTTCCTCCAAAATTTTCTCGACTCTCAGAACTTCTAGGTACTCTAACAATAATAATTATATTATTATATTATTTCGAGGGTTGCTGCATCCATAATGTAATGCAGTAGAAGATCAAAATCTTCAAATATTGGTCTATGGTGGCAATTAATTTTTATTAAAATTACCAGAAGAGACTATTTTCAATTTTGATAAACCAATAGCGTGACCATTAATAATCTCCGGTATGCAGACGATACGGTTTTAATCGTTGATTCTTTGGAAGGTCTTCAAATATTATTTGAGCATTTGACTAATAAAAGTGGAGAATTTGAAATTTTAATTAAAATGCATAGTGGTTAGTAAGAACCAGGTTGGAGGACGTATTCTTCAGGTACAGAACCAACAGATCGATCGGGTCCAATCATACAGATACCTAGGATGCCAGGTTAATGAAGACTTGGCAAACATGCAGGAGGTTTGTGCCAGCATTGAACAAGCCCATCAGAGCATCATTTGTAAAAATGAAGCCCGTGTTGTGTAGTCGAGGTATCTAGCTCTCCGTTCGCACTCGAGTACTACGTCTGTCTTCAGTATTCTCTATTATGGGATTCA